AGTACTCATTGGCCGTTTAGATCCCCTCTTTTGTGAAATATCTTTTCCAGTCTTTGACCCAAATTGGGTTGTCTGTCTCTTTCTTGTTTGGTGGGAGTCCTGTTTATAGTCAGGAAGCAGTTTTTTGTTGGTTGCATGTATTACAAATAACTTCTTCCACTTTGTGGCTTATCATTTCATTCTCTCAATGCTTTTGTTTTTTGATGAATGTAAATTCTTAATATTTGTAGTCAAATTTATTACTTGTTTTCTTTATAGTTAGTACTTTTTATATCCAGTTTGAGAGATCTTTGTTTACTGCAAAGTCATAAAGATATTATCCTATTCAGACATAGCTCAGAGACATTGCGGGTTTACTGTCATGGTCTAGAACCGAACCTGCAATATCTCTGAGAGACTCCTTAAAAAAAACCCAAAAAACCACTAGGAATAAAACCACTATATGACCCAGCAATCCCATTACTAGGCATATACCCTGAGGAAATAAAAATTGGAAAAGACACATGTACCCCAATGTTCATTGCAACTCTATTTATAATTAGCTAAAACATGGAAACAACCTAGATGTCCTTTGACAGATGAGTGGATAAAGAAGCTGTGGTATGTGTGTGTGTATGTATATATATATATAATGGAATATTACTCAGCCATAAAAAAGGAACACATTTGAGTCAGTTTTAATGAGGTAGATGAAACTAGAGCTTATCATACAGAGTGAAGTAAGTCAGAAAGAGAAATATAAATATTGTAATCTAATGCATATATGTGGAATCTAGAAAGATAGTACTGATGAGTTTATTAGCAGGGTGGCAGTGGAGAAACAGACCTAGAGAACAGACTAATGGACACAGTGGGATTTGGGGAGGGAGAGGGTAAGATGTATGGAGAGAGTATAGAAACTTACAATACCTTACGTAAAATAGATAGCCAATGGGAATTTGCTGTTGAGGGAACTCAAACAGGGGCTCTGTATCAACCCAGGGGGTGGGATGGGGAGGGAGATGGGAGGGAGGTTTAGAAGGGAGGGGACATGGGTGTACCTATGGCTTATTCTTGTTGGTGTTTGACAGAAAACAACCAAATTCTGTGAAGCAATTATCCTTCAATTAAAAAGAAATAAATTTTTTTTAAAAAAGAAAAAATAATGGTGCTGATGGACTTGCTTGATGCAGGGTTGCCGTAAACCTTCAATTTGCAAAAAAAAAAAAGCACCATCTGTGAAGTGAAATAAAATGAAGCATAGTAGAGCAAGATATGCCAGAGTTATTTTCTGGAAGTGTTCTTTTTCACATATTGATCCATAATCCACCTGAAATTGATGTTTGCTTGGTGTGAGCCAATAATCATGAATTTGATTTTTTTTTTCCCTATAGTGTGTGCATGCTAAGTTGCTTCAGTTGTGTCCACTTCTTTGAGACACTATGGACTGTAGCCTGCCAGACTCCTCTGTCCTTGGGATTCTCCGGGAAAAAGAACACTGGAGTGGGTTGTCATGCCCTCCCCTAGGGGATCTTTCCAACTCAGGAATTGAATCCAGGTCTCTTAACATCTCCTGCATTGACAGGCAGGTTCTTTACCACTAGCGCCACCTGGGAAGCCCACTCTTATAGTGATATTAATCCACTTGACATGAGTATATTGAACAGGCTGTCCTTTACCCATTACACTGTATTTCTTATGCCTTCATGACAGATTTCCATTCTTTTGTCTGCAGTCTGTTTGTATCCTTATATTTAAAGATGTATGTGTCTTATAAGCAACATGGAATTGGATTTTTCTTTTTTTTATTCTAGTCTAAAACCTTTGACTTTTAAATACAGTATTTATCTATTTATATTTAATGTAATTCCTAATATATTAGGGATAAATAGTTCTATTTGCCATTTTCCCTATCTATATCACATTCATTCCTGTCCTTATTGCTTTCATTAAACCAATACTTAAGTATATTTTAATTTTAAAACACTCACATATTGGCTTGTTAGTTATACATTCTTTAAATCTCTCTGCTTTTTGATTACCATAAGGAGTTCAGTATGAATCCATGAGTTTTTAAAATTTAATACATTGAGCACTTTACTACTTTCTGGAAACACAAGGACCTGAAACTATTTTAATGCCTCTCATTCCCTCTTTGGTCATGTATTTTAAGTCTTCATATACTTTAGATCACAAAAGAAATTATTGCTGTTTTTTTATATCAACAGTCACTTAAATTTAGCTACATATTTACTTTTCCATTGTTTTTCATTCCTTTATGCATATCCTTGGGCTTTCTAGCTGTCTCAGTGATAAAGAATCACCAGCTATCTGTCTGGTTTTGGTATTAGGGTGATGGTGGCCTCATAGAATGAGTTTGGAAGTTTACCTTCCTCTGCAATTTTCTGAAAGAGTTTGCGTAGGATAGGTGTTAGCTCTTCTCTAAATTTTTGGGAGAATTCAGCTGTGAAGGCATCTGGTCCTGGGCTTTTGTTTGTTGGAAGATTTCTGATTGATTTCTGTGCTTGTGATGGATCTGTTAAGATTTTCTATTTCTTCCTGCTTCAATTTTGGAAAGTTATACTTTTCTAAGAATTTGTCCATTTCTTCCAAGTTGTCCTTTGTATTGGCATATATTGCTGATAGTAGTCTCTTATGATTCCTATGTATTTCTGTGTTGTCTGTTGTGATTTCTCCATTTTCATTTCTAATTTTGTTGATTTGATTCTTCTCCTTTCTTTCTTGATGAGTCTGGCTAATAGTTTGTCTATTTTATTTATCTTGTCAAAGAACCTGCTTTTAGTTGTGTTGATTTTTGCTATAGTCTCCTTTGTTTTTTTTTTGCATTTATTTCTGCCCTAATTTTTATGATTTCTTTTCTTCTACTAACCCTGGGGTGCTTCATTTCTTATTTTTCTAGTTGCTTTAGGTGTAGAGGTTATTTGTTTGATTTCTCTTCTGTTTCTTGAGGTAGGCTTGTATTGCTATGAAGCTTCCCCTTAGCACTGCTTTTACTGAATCCCATATAATGAGGCGGATGAAACTGGAGCCTATTATACAGAGCAAAGTAAGTCAGAAAGAAAAACACCAGTACAGTATATTAATGATGACCCTATGTGAGAGACAACAAAAGAGAAACAGTTGTAAAGAACAGACTTTTGGACTCTGTGGGAGAAGGCGAGGGTGGGATGATTTGAGGGAATAGCATTGAAACGTGTGAAATTTCATATGTGAAATAGATCGCCAGTCCAGGTTCGATGCATGAGACAGGGTGCTCAGGGCTGGTACACTGGGATGACCGTGAGGGATGGGATGGGGAGTGAGGTGAGAAGGAGGGTCAGGATGGGGAACACATGTACACCTATGGCTGATTCATGTGAATGTATGGCAAAAACCACCACAATATTGTAAAGTAATTAGCCTCCAATTAAAATAAATTAAAAAAAAAAAAGAATCACCAGCTAATGCAGAAGATGTGGGCTGAATCCCTGGATTGGGAAGATCCCCTGGAGAAGAAAATGGCAACCCACTCCAGTATTCTTGCCTGGAAAATCCCATGGGTAGAGGAGCTTGGCAGGCTATAGTCCCATGGGGTCACAAAAGAGCTGGGCATGACTTAGTGACTAAATAACAACAATAATGCATGTCCTTGCTCCCAGCTGGGATCATTTCCTTTAGTGTGCATATACTGAAAGGAATTCTTTCCGTTTTTATTTATTTGAAGATACCTTTTTTAACTTTTATTTTTGAATGAACTTAAAATAATTGTATAATTTATAAGATGTTACCTTTTCCCCACTATTTTTAAGATGCTGCTTTATTACCTCCTGGCATACACCATTTCTGTCACCCATATTATTGCTCCCTTGAAGTGAATGTCTTTTTTTTTTCCCTCTAGCTGTTTTTAAGAGATTTGATCTGTCTTTGTTCAGAAGTTTCACTAAGATGAACCTGGGTGTGTTTTTAAGTTTGCTTTCCCTTCTTTGAGATTGTATCTGAATGTGTAGTTTGATGTCCCTTGTCAATTACCTGAAAATTCTCATCAATAGCTCTTCTAATATATAGCTTCTGTCTCATTTTTTCTTACTTACTTACTTTTGGATTCATCATTTATAGTTACAGGCTTTAAAATAATGATGATCCATATATTTAGGAAGATGGAGGACATGGTGGATAATTTCAGAAGAGAACTGAAATGTAAAAAAAAGATAGTCAACAGAAATTATAGAACTGATAAAGTAACCAAAATTTAGAACACAAGAAATAAATTTAATAACAGATTAGACACAGTAGAAGGAAGGATTAATAAATGAAAGATAGTTGCATAGAAAGTGTTTAGTCTGAATCTGAATGGATGATGAAAAATTTAAAATTTTGGGCTTTTGGCTTTCCATTAAAATCAAAATTTTTGTGAACATTGAGTCTACATTCCTCATAGCTTTAGCTGGTCTGAGCTGATGAAAGGGCTCCCTGTAAAGGGGTATGTCCCTCCTACTAGCAAGAGTTCACCTTTCTCTTATTGCATTCTGTTACTGAGGCTGAATATCTGTTGTTATGGCTTATATTACCCTTGGACTGCTTCACTCATTTATGTTACCTGAAGGAACGTGGGTCAGTTAAGGGGAAAAGGTGGGGAGGGACCATCTAGGCAGATGAAGTAGCACATGAAAAACTACCTGCCTTGGGGGAGTTGGGCAAGTCTAGAGACTCAAATGAAGGCAGCAAGACAAGAGAACAAACATGAGTAGGGTTGTTGTATTGAACCGCTGAGTCTTGAAAAATATTTAGGATCTTGGATATCCTAACAGACCAAGTAGCTAAGAAGGACTATACTTATTTCACTGTTACTCGATGGTATACAAATTTGGCCCCTCTGAATCTTCTGGTTGAAATAATCCATCATTATGTAAAAGTGATTTGTTCATTCTAACTTTTTAGCCAGGTGGAAAAGCTATTGATTTGATATGATGAAAACAGCACTGAATTAATCTTCATGCCTTTGTTTTTCCTCTGCCTTATAGCTGCAAGTGTCCGCTGCTTGGAAAAGTGTGGGAAGCTGACTTGGAAGCTTGTCGGTTGCTTATCCAGAGCTTGCAGCTCCAGGAGGCCAGGGGCAGCCTGTTTGCAGATGAGAGACAGACGGATGACTTAGGGGGAGGTGCTTATACAGTGGCTCTGGCCACCCCCCTGAGGTCCCACCCTGAAGATGAAAGGAAGACCCCTTTGCATGCCTTTGAAGAGTGGATGGTGCACCTGACTCCCTCTCCTCACAGTGCTAGCAGTGAACAGAAAGAGGTCTGTCCATCCTCATAAGATTAAGGATTCTTACTCTGAGGGGGGCTTTGGGACCACACTCCAAGTCAGAGCAGTAAATACTGGGTGGGCTTCCCACTGACCCACCCAAACTCTTTAAAGTTTTAACAACTCCTGAACATGATTTCAAAATGATGCAGAATTTTTATAGAAGTTGTTTAATATATAGGAGAATGAAAAAAAAAACTTTTGGCAAATTTAGTTCTATTTTTATTCTAATTTAATGGCTCTAGTCAGAATATATAAACTAATATATAATTACTGTATATATATATATAGCCCACACTCTATATGTCATATATAAAATGCAGCTGTTGTCTGTATACATATTATATATGTCATCTATGATATTTAATTCTATATTTAGAATATATATTCTACAATATTTATTCATTAGAATCAAACAAATATATGTATATATTCCATTAACTGTTTTTGCCAAAGCAAGATCATAATGAATGTTAGAATTTGCTCTTTTCATTTAAAATACCTAAGATATGGCCTGTGATATATGCATTAAAAATTAAAGTGTAGATTTATTCATTGTTTTACTCCAGGGCTGACCTAGATTCACAGAGATCTGAGTTCCCCACCCCTCCCCTCCGTGCTTCATCTCTCCTTTCTCTCCCTTCCCCTTGCTCACTTTCCCTTCTAGCCTTAATAAGATCCTTTCAACAAAAGGACTCTAGGAATTTCTTTCCAGTTTCAGTGCCATGACAGGAGGCTTCAGAGCACTTTTCTGGCCAGATTCCCAGGTGTTTTGAATAGTAAAAGAAAATAAAACCTTGGTGAAGCTGGAGGGGGGCCTTCCCAGGTGGTGTGGTGGTAAAGAATCCGCCGGCCAGTGCAGGAGACACAAGAGATGTGGGTTCGATTCCTGGGTGGTGAAGATCCCCAGGAGGAGGAAATGAGAATCCACTCCAGTATTCTTACCTGGAAAATTCCATGGGCAAAGGAGCCGGCAAGCTGCAGTCCATGGGGTCACAAAGAGTCAGACACGACTGAGCGACCAAGCACACACCCCCAAGTCTGGAGGAACATGTCATTCCACGTCCATGTCTCACAGTTGGCATTAGATGTGCCCCCTCCCTGGGTCGTTGCCACTACTCACCAGGAAACACGTCCATGTGGGCACCCCGCCCCCGTGCTGTCTGCAGGACCCTAGTCTTTGAGAGCACACACCCTCTGATGATCTGCTTACAGTCAACGCCTTCCAGACTTGCTTGGAAAATTGCTACTCGATCATTATTTTCATTGAACAACCTTATGAGAAAGCAAGCTGTTGTCACTCTCTGGAATCCTGCTGTCCTCATACAAGGAGCCTCTACACCGAGCTGTGGATAATCTCAACCCCTTTGTTAGCTGAGGCCCTGCAGGCGGAATCCTCCGAAAAGCCTGGCTGCCTCTCTTCTGATGCATTGTTGAAAACCTGCCTGTCTCAGTGGGCCAGCTTCGAAGAATATTCCGAGGCAAGGGGCACGCTGCCTGGTCATCTCCAGTTCTGTGTCCTTCATGTTCCATGCACTGTCCCTGCATTGCTTTCTGGGGATTAGTCAGAGAGGAAGGTGGGCATCTTTGGAACTCTTGAGCTTCCTTTCTGGAAAGGACAGAATTATAGAAACAGAAAACGGATCAGTTGTTGCCGGGTACTGGTGCAGAGGGGTGGGGATGAGGGGGTGGTGGGGGTGGGGGGCGGGGCACCTGTCACAGACCGCAGCATGAAAGCGTTGTGGGTGGGGCGGTAGTGAGAGAAATACTCTGTATCTTGACTGTAGTGGTGGCTGTGTAGTGGTGTGCAAGGGTACATGCTAAGTCACATCCGTCATGTCTGACTCTCTGCAATGCTATGGGCTATAGTCCTCCAGACTCCTCAGTCCATGAGATTCTCCAGGCAAGCATACTGGAGTGGGTTTCCACGCCCTCCTCCAGGGGATCTTCCCAACATAGGGATCGAACTGCATCTCTTACAAATCCTGCAGTGGCAGGCAGGCTCTTTACCACTTGCGCCACCTGGGAAGTCTCTACATAACTGAGTGTCTATGTCTAAATTTATAATTTTATGCCAAAATTTTTACTGCATGTCATGTTACAAAAGTGACTGTAATTTTAAAAATAATCTCTCCCTATTTTAAAAGTGAGGCTCTAGCTGTTCGATTTGGTTGCGTTTGTCTCAAGGCTATCAGAAGGCAGTACAGCAGATGAGCAGAGCCGAGGCCGCTGGGCTGTATACAGACTGCATTTCCTCCTCTATTAAAAAAAAAAATGGGAACAATGAAAAATATCTCATGAAGGAAGATTGTGGAGATTTAAATAAAAGAATGCATCTAAAAGTGATGATACGTACATGGTGGTGGCAGTTCAGTTGCTAAACCATGTCTGACTTTTTGCAAGCCCATGGACTCTAGTCCACCAGGCTCCTCTGTCCATGGGATTCTCCAGGCAAGAATACTGGAGTGGGTAGCCATTTCCTTCTCCACAGGATCTTCCTGACCCAGGGATTGAACCTGTGTCTCCTGCATTGCAAGCAAATTCTTTACCATCTGAGGGAAGCCCTGATACATACATAGTACAGGCTTAACTCATAATTGTGTGTGTGTTCATCACTCTTTATGGCAGTCACAAGAATCTCTAAGACCTTTTTAAAATAGTATACCCTGCTTCTTTTATTAAGAAACAGAAAAGAGAGCAATCAGTCAGTGGAAGATTTTCAAGTAAAGAAAGATTTAGTAAAGGGACAGTCTTGTTTGTATTGGGGTGAAGGATTCTGAGCTATTGAAAGTGTGAACAATAACCAAGGATCGCATTCGGAGGAAGGTGCTTTTGTTTTCCTGCCATGGTTTCCAGGGGCTCATTGGATTCTGGTTCCTCGTGTATTTGTCCTGAGGCCGTGGTGTCTGTTTGCTTTGCAGCACTGAGATGCTTTTGCTCTGGAACTCCATGCTGGGTCTGGCCACCCCGCACTGGTTTCTCTCTTGAAACCTGGTGCCCTGAAGGCAGTCAATTACTTTCTAACCTAAATCTTCCATGAAAAATTGCTGACTTCTCCTGGAGGTCCGCAGGGAGATGGATTTTCAAACCTTCCCTGTGCTTATCTGCCCCACGTGGGTACAAGCATTTTGGTTGCACTGGTTCTCACAAGTGCTTTGTCATTAATTAGAGATTTTGCTGTGTTTAGGGTCCCACCGGGCTTCTCAGCACCATTTCTCCCATTTTACAACTGGGCCTATTAAGGCATAGTAATGTGCTGTGGGCTTTGTTACCTAGGAAGCTGGCCGCAGGGCGAAGGGCCAATTTTCACTTGCGCTTCGTCAACGGTAAGAGCCCTCTTCTTTTTCAGCTTCATTACAGCTCTCCGGCAAGCTTTGCCTCAGCCTCTGGAAACAATCAGCTGCTGTTGGCCCTGCTTTATAGACATTACAGAAATTGCATGGGGCCAGACAGAAGCTGGGGAAATCAGTGAGCCAGCTTCCTCCACTCTGAAGTTGCTCTTTTGTACTTGCTGTTCTGGCCATTATACCTGCGTAATTCTCTCTTTCCTGTCTGCAGCCTGTCCTGCTGGGGTGCTTTCTGTTTTTACTACAAAGTGGGCTTCAGTCCCGCTGAGTTCCCCTGGACAGCATCACTCTCCCTGCCTTTTGCCTCCAGCTGCTTCCTTTCCCAGCCAGGAGCTGCTCAAAGAGGCTAAAAAAGGCCCAGCAGCTTTGAGCATCTCATGCAGGATTTGAGTAGCCAGGGTGTTAAGATGTCTGCAGTGAAGGGAATTAGCACTAGGATACAGGGTGACTTTATGTTTTTAGTTTCTGCTTTGTGGTTGAAGTCCAGTTAACTTACAGTTTTTCTTATTATCGTTGTGGTTGTGGTTTTGTCTCCAAGTTGTAGCCGACTCTTTGTGACACCATGGACTGTAGGCTGCCAGGCTCCTCTGTCCATGTGATTTCCCAGGCAAGAAAACTGGAATGGGTTGCCATGCCCTTCTCCAGAGGATCTTCCCAACCCACGGATTGAACCCAGGTCTCTTGCATTGCAGTGGATTCTTTACCATTTAACCCACCAGGGAAGCCCTTTAGTTATTATATAGGTCTCCAAAAATGCCAATGTCTCCCAATTTCATTTTATTCCATTTCACATGGCAGGAAAGCTGAAAAAACTAATATGTGGTGAAGAAGTGTGTCCTCACCATCTTAAACTGATTTATAATTCTAGAAACATCTGTAGTGGTTGAAGGGCTTATTTTCCAGACCTGGCAGATGCAGGTTTGCTTTTCTCTCTTCCCCATCACTTCCTGGCTCCCCTGAGCTCTCAGCAGGGCAGCAGCCTCACCAGTGAAGCAGGGTAAAAAAGAGCAGGGCCTGAACTACATGCCTTCTTTTTTTTTTTTCATTTGTATTTTTAATTGGAGGATAATTGCTTTACAATGTTGTAAAGCATTGTATGGTTTCTGCCATACATCACCATGAATCAGCCGTAAGTATACATATGTCGCCTCCCTCCCACCCCTCTAAGTTGTCCCAGAGCACTGGGTTGAGCTCCCCATTATGCACCAACTTTCCACTGGCTACCCAGCTTACATATGGTAATGTATATATTTCAGTGCTGCCCCTGAGCTCGCCCCACCTCTCCTGCCTCCACCGTGTCAAGTGTGTGCTCTGTGTCTGTGTCCCTATTCCTGCCCTGCAGATAGGTTCAGCAGTACCATCTTTCTAGATCTCATACATATGCATTAATATACAATATTTGTCTTTCTCTTTTGACTTACCTTGTATAACAGGCTATAGCATCCACCTCACTAGAACAGACTCAGATGCATTCTTTTTTATGTAACAGTCCATTGTATATTTGTACAACTTCTTTATCCATTCACTTGTTAATGGACGTGTCCTCTTGGTAGCTCATCTAACTTGAAATTTGTGAGACAACCCCCAGGCTGGAATGCTCACTTAATCATTAGCTGCTTTTTCTCTTTCTGTCTAAGGCCTTTGAGG